AATTACTCCTTTGCTATGTGTGCCCTGAGCTAGAGCTCACTGTCCCCTGGCCTCTGTATGCATTGGTGGAAGAATAGGTTGCCAAGTTTGGGAGGCTTATTTTGTACCAATTATAACACCATAGTAAACATCCATTTCTAAAAAAGCTTTAAGTTTGTCTGGCTGATATTAACTGATAATTATAGGGGAAGCACACTGATGGGGGCTTGTAAGCTATAGCATTAAAAGATAACCACATCTTCTTCCCTCCCAACTCCTCAGGGCTTCTCTTAGACTCTGACAAGACAAGAAGCAGCTGGTTTCTTGGGGGCATGACTTGCCAGTGTGGGTGGGTGTTTGCTCTCAGAGTTTTGTAACTGCAAGTACACATGTCAGATAGTCATTGATTCAACAAGCATTTATTAAACACTTACTATATGCCAGCTACTGTGTTAGAGGATTTTGTTGTTCAGTCATATCCTACTCTTTGTGACCTCATTAGGGTTTTCTTGACAAAGATATTGGAGTGATTTGCCATTAACTTCTCCAGCTCATTTTACAGGTAAAGAAACGGAGGCAAACAGCATTAAATGACTCATCCAGGATCACACAGCTAGGAAGTGTCTGGGGCCAGATTGGAAATCAGAAGGATGAGTCTCTTCCTGATTCTAAACCCAATGCTCTATCCACTGTGCCAACTAGCTGCCCATGTTAAAGGATGCAAAGAAGAAGATGAAATCACCCCTGCCCTCAAGAAGCTTCCATTCTATTGGCATATATATAAAATATATGATATATATAATGTATAAAATATATAATATATAACCTATATATTGTATAATGTATAAATATATTTAAGTACATGTATATGTATATAATTAAATATATTTATATGTAATATATAAAGTATATTTATGTATGTATATATAATTAAAAAGCAAAATCTATACAAAGCAATTTCCAGGAAAGGAGGGCACTGGCGGAGGAATGAGGACAGATTTCCTGAATGAGATAATATCTGAGCCGCTATTTGAAGGCTTCTGTGAGGTAGAAGTGAAGAGGGAATGCATTCCAGGTTTGGAGGGCAGCCTGTGTAAAGGCTTGGACGTGGGAATAAGCTCTGTCACTTATTATTATCTGTGTGACTTTCAGCAAATCTCCTAGTCTCCTGGACCGCAGTTTCTTCATCTGTAAAATGGGAGGGTTAGATTAGATGACCTGAGGTTCTTCCTAGTTATCGAGCTTCCTGATTCAAGTTCCAGATTCTGCAAAAAAAAAAAAAGTTTCCCAGTCTTCTTTAATCTTAATGCCTTCCCTCTGTTGATTGTTTCTAATTTATCCTGTTTACTTCTTGTTTGTATATGGTTATTTGTCTGTGCCATTAGACTGTGAGCTCCTTGAGAGAAGAGGACTGTTTGTGGTTATTTTTTCTTTCTTTCTTTGTATTTCCATCATTTAGCACTCTGCCTGGCACAGAGTAGGTGCTTTACAAATGCTTACTAGCTTGAGTATGAGGCATCTAGTCTCTCAGAGTCTCAATTTCCCCATGTATAAAATAGAGGTCTATAAAATAATCAAGTTAGGCCTCTGATAGATGATTCTACAAATTATTTAATCCCTCAGCCTTGGTTTTCTCATGTATAAAATAGAGATGATTTTTAGTCATATCTGACCCTTTGCGGCCTCATTTAAGTTTTTTTTGGGGGGGAGGGATAGGCAATGGAGTTTAGTGACTTGCCCAGGGTCACACACCTAGTAAGTGTCAAGTGTCTGAGGCTGGATTTGAACTCACGCCCCGCTGACTCCACGGCTGGTGCTCCATCCACTGCATCACCTAGCTGCCCCCATTTTGGCAGAGATAACTGGAGTGGCTTGCCATTTCCTTCTCCAGCTCATTTTACAGATGAGGAAACTGAGGCAGAGAAGGTTAAGTGACTTGCCCAGGGTCACACAACTAGTAAGTATCTGAGGCTGGATTTGAATTCAGGTCTGACTCTAGGCCTGGCGCTCTATCCACTTCAACACCTTGTTGTCCCAGAATAGGTTACAAAACCACAGTCTTTCCGATTGGGAAGGAACCTTTGGGTTCATAGTCCAACTCATACAGGAACAAGCATTCCCGCTATATTACTTGCATTGGTTCCCTCACTGGAATAGTGCAAGCAAAGAGCTTTGCAGAATGTAAAATGCTACATACAACGTTATTGAAAGAATGCAGGGCAGTGACAAGTGAGCTAGATTTAGAATCAATGGGCATGCTCTGTCTACTGCCTGTTTCTACCTCAGGCGTCTATTTCCTTATTTGTAAAATGAGGGATTGGACTAAATGAAGACCTTTCCAAATCTTGATCCATAATCTGGGATTATTATCTTGCCTCCCACAGCTCTTGGTTAAAAAGACTGTTTCTAAAGAAGAGGCTAGACTCTTCCGTGCCGGCTGCTGGGTCGCTCCCAAGCACCACCCACTGAGTCAGACTCTTCCCTGGGCTGGAGCCGGAGATCTAAAGGGCAGTCTTCCAAACAGGGTAATAATCGTCCCATTAAAATTAATGTCCGTGAAGAGAGCCATTAAAGGCCTACAGATTAAAGGGGAAATTGTTCAATTTAAACCAAAAGGGCTTTTTAAATAGACACTGGGTCTTAATTCTTGGAATGTGACACCCCCGCAATTTATCAGGTCCCAGTTTGCAAGAGCAGGGGAACTATAAGCTGGGCTCAAGGAGGGGAGGCAGGCAGATCCTGGTTGGAGAAGCTAACTCCCGGCCAGAATCAAGTTTGTGCTTTGCCAGCAGTGGCCCAGGTTCAAATATTGGTTCAGCCACCTATTATCTGTGTCACAATAAGCAATCACCTAACCTCTCTGGGCTTCAGCTTCTTATCTGTAAAATGGGAGGGTTAGACTAAGTGACTTCAAAGACCCCTTTGAGCCCAAACTCTCATAAACTTGAACATGAGACAAGGAGAATCAGATTTTTAATCTTTCGAGGTCCAAAGACCCTACCAATTCCTGGTCCTGTGCTGTAGTGTCTCATTCAGCTTTCCCCCTGCCTAGACATCTGAGCACTCTATAGTGGTGGAACTGCTTGGAATCTTTTTTTTTTTGGGGGGGGGGAGCAGTTGGAATCCAAGGTCTCTCAGGTAGTCTGCGAGTACTGTATATACATTTATGTCCTCTGAGTATAGGGACAGATTTCTGTTTAGTAGCACAGTGTGGTGGGAATGTAAATGGGGAAGAAAATGAATGGGAATCAGGGAAGACCTGGGTTCTAGTCCTGACTTTGTCACCAAATTGCTATGAAACTCTGGCTAAGTCTGGCTAACCCTCATTTTCCTCACCTATGAAATGAAAGCCCTGGATGAGCTCTATGGCCCCTCCAGCTCTAAAATCTCCTCGTTTCGCTTTTTTGCACTGCATTAACAAGGACCTTCCACCCAAATCTAGAACTGTAAGAGATCTTAAAGGTTGAGGAAACTATAGCCCAGAGGGGGAAAGTGAACATAAGCTCTTTGGAGTAGGGCTTTGTTTCGAACTTTATACTTACGTTCCCAGTGCCTGACGGATGACTGCTTATTTATTGACTGCCCCAGGTCATACAAGTAGGGAACATGAGAAGCAGGATTCGAATCCAGGTCCTTTCGCTCCAGAGCCAGAGCACTTTCCACAGTGCCAGACTGACTTCTCTTGGCCTTTCTCCTCATTTGTATAATGTGGGAAGTTATACTACATACCCATCAATCAATCGATAAATATTTATTAAATGTGGGCCAGACACAGTGTTAAGCGCTGGTGATACAAAAAGAGACAAAAGACAGTCCCTGCCCTCAAAGAGCTTACAATCTAATGGGGAAGACAACGTGCAAACAATATATACAAAGCAAGCTACATACAAGATTAATAGGAAGTAATTAACAGAGGGAAGGCTCAGAAGTTAAGAGGGGCTGGAGGAAGCTTCCAGTAAAAGAAGGGATGTGGCCTGAGGTTCCAGCTCTAACCCAGTGTTCTGGATGAGACTCTATGGAAAGCCGACCTACCTTTGCCCTTCCTATCCCCCAATTTACATCTTGCACAAATTTGGGATTTAACCCCTAATTTCGAGAGGTGTAGATCTCACCTGTCTGAAGAACACCTGCTCAAGCTAAGGGTCTCAGTATATTCAACTCTACTGTAGAGATAGGGGTGGTCTTTTTTCCTTCCCCAATTCCTGCTCTTCAAACCTATCTGGACTACACTGAAGTTGCTAGCATACATTGTAAATTCGAGCGGGTGCGAGGGGAGGCAGAGGACTCTTTAATGAAAGGCAAAAGTTGCCCTTAAAGGCTGAATGGGAGGAAAGAGACGTTTCTTTCCAAAATGCTGTTGGCTGGCTTCGCCGGGGGCGCTCGGGGACCTGGCGCGAGGGGGCCAGGAATGACCAACTGAGCTCCGAGACTGTTAACAGGTGCTCGCAGAGATGAGAGCTCAAGTTGGTTTCACCGTCAGCCTTTAGTTAAAACCAGGCTTGGGAGGCTTCAGAATCTCGGGACGAGGAGGGACAAGTTCTGCCAGAAAGCAGCCAAGTTAGGTCGAGATGTGCCCAGGATAAGGATCTTCTCCGACACTCGTCTTTCCCCACTCCCCCTCCCAAAATAAATATACTCATGAATAATAATAAGAATTTGGTTTCCACCAGCGACACGGCCTCTGCCAGAGCCGAAAGAGAGAAAGATCCAAAGGAAAGCAGAGGAGGAAATCACACCCGGAGCTCTGTTCTTGATCTCTGCGGTGTCCCCAGCAACGCACCACGCTGTCCGATCCTGGCCGGGCAGAGAGCTTTGGTTGGGCGGAGTCGGTCCCCCTCCGCCAAGCGCCAGCCTAGCCTAGCTCCCGGCAAAGGCAGGGTTAAAAGTTACCTCTCGGTTTCTTCTGCCTCCAGCCCCCCCGGGGCCGGATGATGTAACCCCCCTTTCAGCCCTCCCCCCTCTACCATGTGACACTTTAATTAATAATAGCGCCGTCGTCCGCCCCACCAGCGCCCGCCCGACACACCACACACACTCACACACGTACACAAACACCGAAACTTGGTGTGCGGAGCCCGGGGCCGAGCGCATCAAGGCGCAGCCGGAGCGCACGCGGCTGGACGCGCGCAGCAGTGCGAGGAAAGGAAGGTGCCCGCGGGCGGAGAAGGGGTGCCGAGCCGGGGCAAGGCGGGCGGACCGAAGCTAGGAAGTCGAGCCGGAGAAGGAGGAGCGCGGGAGGTGTCCGTCATGTGCCCGTGCCCCCTGCACCGCGGTCGCGGCCCCCCTGCGGTGTGCGCTTGCAGCTCCGGCCGCCTCGAGCAGCGCGCGGCGGCCGCGGCACAGCTGACGGCCGCCCGACTCAAGGCGCTCGGGGACGAGCTGCAGGAGCGGACCATGTGGCGGCGCCGGGCGCAGAGCCGGCGGGCCGCAGCCGAGGCGGCCGGCAACGGCAGCGGGCTCCCCGCCTACTGGGCTTGGCTGTGCGCGGCCGCTCAGGTGGCGGCGCTGGCGGCCTGGCTGCTCCGGAGGAGGAACTTGTAGGAGCGCGGGGGCTTCTTGGCGGGGGCCGAAGCGGAGACCGAGCCGGAGCCCAAGCAACAGGTACTGTCCTGGGGCCGGGCTGGGGACCTGCTACCTGGGGCTGGGTAAGACTTAAAGGCCAGTCCTGCCAAACGTGCGTTGCGCTCGGCTAGGACTGGAGAGAACCAAGTTTCTGCTCCTCTCCGCTCCACTCCCCATTTTCCCCTTGCCTCTACCCTCTCCCTGTTTGTCCCTTTACTCTTTTGGTCTCCTTGTCCGTACGTCTGTTTCTTATCTACTCAATTTTTCTTTCTCTCCCCTTCTTTCTACCCACTCTTCTCTCTCCCCCTTCTCTTCTCCTCTCTCCCCCTTCTTCTCTTCTCTTCTCTTCTCTTCTCTCTCTTCTCTTCTCTTCTCTTCTCTTCTCTTCTCTTCTCTTCTCTTCTCTTCTCTTCTCTCTCCTCACCTCTCTTTAATCATTCTGCCTCTCAGTCTCTTTCTCGTTTCTGTGCTCTCCATCCTTATCTATCTTTCTTCTGTATCTTCCTGTGCTTCTTGGAGTTTCTGCCCGTCCCTCTGATTTTCTCTCCGTCATTTTCTCCCTGCCTCGCTCTATCTCTCTTTCCCTAGGCCGTGGGACTTCTTTTGACTTAGCCAACTTTTGCCTCCTTCTTCTATCTCATACTTGTGCCCCACATGGAACCTCCAAAGACTGCCCTCCAGGAGCTTGGTCCGGGCCAAGAGCCTGCCTGGGAAGGGCACTTGAGGTTTGGGCTTACAATGTCAGTAAGTTGCCTTGGAGGGGCGTGAGAAAAGGGACCGTCCGGGACTATCGTTTACCTAACAGGTACTGAAACCCTGCTGTGTGCTGGGTGTTTGGCTAAGAGCTATGTAAAGGTAAGCAGGTCTGTCCAATTGGAGGCTGAAAGACCAGGCAGAGATGGGGGGTGCAGCAGTTGTAGGAGGGGCTGGAGGTGTCCATGAGGGAAACGGGCACTGGGGACCAGGGAAGAGAATGAGGCTAACCTTGACGGGGCTGAGAAAGAAAGGCAGAAGCACCGCTGGTAATCAATGGGAAAGACGTTGTTGAGGAAGCCAATGGCGCCTGCACAAATGCCCAAGGTCTCGGCCCCGGAGTGCCTTGCATATCCCAAGAATGGCTTCTCCAGGGATTGGGGCTCTGCGTGCATCTGCACCCTCGGAATCCGTACTGGCCGCCTGCAGTCCCAAGTCTGTGCTCTCTGGGCTGGGCGGATCCCTTCAGTCCAGGGGGTTGTAGTAGTGCGATGTTTGAGGTGGGGAGATAGGTGACAGGTGCTTTGTAGGTCCGAGGAAGCCGAGCCCTTGCAAAAGAGAGCCTGTGCGTTTCTCCGTGCCTACCTGCGACCCCTGGGAAAGTTGCCCTGCTAGGCTTCTAACCTGTGGCCCAGGGAAAAGCCTCGGGTCCCATTCCAGCCCAAAGCTGGAATAAGACAGGCTAACGCCTCTCTTTCCCTTTGAGGTTCAGAGAAGTCCCCCCTCCCTATCTAGCCCCAGGCTCTAGGTTTTGTTTTGTTTTGTTTTGTTTTGAGCTGGGAACAACTTTCTGGAGAGAAGGGAAGAGAAAAAATGAGTAGAGAGAGAAGCAAGTTGGAGCGATGGGAAGAGGAAAAAGACGAAGAGACAGAGAAAGAAGAGGAAGAGGAAGAAAGAATCCTAGACAGTTATAGTTAAAGGATCCCTTAAAAGCAGCATAGGATGCCAGAGCTTAGCGTAGAGTGTTAGAGCTGGTAGAGACCTTAGAACATTAGCCTGTTAGAGCTGGGAGGGCTCTTAGATAAGAGAATTTGAGAGATGAGAGGACCCTTAGAATGTGGACTATTAGGCTTGGGGATGTAGGGTGTGGTAGATCTGAAAGCATCTAGTTCAAACCCCTCATTTTACAAAGATAAAGTAAAAGAGGAGAAGAAATAATAGGGGGACCCCATACAATCCAGCTCTGGGACTGGAAGAGGTCTTTGAGGAAATCCACATTTAGTCCAAACCCCTCATTGTATAGATTAGAAAACTGAGGAAGTTAAGTGACTTAACAGGTAGTAAAGCGTGAGAGGACAGGCCAGGAACCCTCTCCTGTACCACGCAGCAAGACAAGAGAATTTTATCATGAATCTAAGAAAAACAATGAGAAAAAAAACATGACGTAAAGAAAACAGGATAGATTCTGGCCGATAAACTGGCGCTGGGCGCTGTCAAGGGACAGCTTATTCCCGCTCTCTTGGCTTGGGGTACGGGGCGCAGGGTTGTGAGCGCAGAGGGGGGCCGCCGACCCTCGCTCTCCTCAGGTTTCTGCAAGGACTAGCATTCCCGCGGACCTCGGGGAGTTGCCTAACCAGGCAGGAGCCTGCGGGGTGACTGGGGGGGCTGGCGTCCAGGAGGCGCCGGAGGCGGGCAGGAGGGGCGGCCACAGCAGGGGGGGGAGGCGGGGCTGGGGATGCTTGTGGTCCCAGTGTGGCAGGCTGCCCGTAGCCTGGAGGAAGCTTCGGAAGGGGCTGGTGCCCAAGGCGCGGGCCCAGAGAGACAAGAGATGCGGTCGGATGGGAGCTGGTGAGAGGACATATGGGGGAAGTCGACTAGGGTCTCGCCTAGGGTTCTCCTGGAAGTTGCCGGGGTTACCAATTCCCAGTCCTGGGTGGGCACCCTACCCGGGAGCCAGTGCTCTGAGCTCATGAATGTGCATAGGAGCAAGTGTCCCGGATCCCAGGAAGAGTCCAGATCACTTTCACCCCTGTGGAGATCAACCTAGGACATAGATGACCCAGTATTATCCCAGGCAGCCTTAGCACTTCAGACGGGAGGCAGTGTGCTACAGTGGAAGGAGAATATACACACACACACACACACACACACACACACATACATATATACGTATATATGTATATATGTGTGTGTGTATATATATATATATATATATATACATATATATATGTATATACACACATATACACACATGCACATTTTCAGGTCTCATCTCTATCACCCTGGGCAAGTCACTTAGCCTCTCAAGCCTCAGTTTCCCCATTTGTACCCTTCAAACCAGCTAGCATTTAGATAGCCCTTTGTTTGCAAAGCACCTAACATTTCATTTGATCCCCACAACAACCCTGTGAATTAGGTGCTATTATTATCACCTCCAATTTAAAGAAGAAAAAAACTAAGGCAGATAGAGGTGACCCATCCTGGGTCACACAGCTAGTAAGTGCCTGAGGCAGGATTTGAACTCAGGTCTTCTTGGCTCCAAATTCAGCACCCTAATCCAGCTAGCTGCTGTGATCTCCTTGGAGCAAGACTGAGGAAGTTGATACCCTTTCAACACCCTTCTTAAAACAACAATAACAACTTCTTTAATTTTATTTTGGACTCCATTGACTTTCCCAGCTCATTTCTCTTCATGGCCTGGAGATAAACCTGACTTCTGTTCCAGGAAAAAAAAAATCTGTTCTCTCGTAGCATAAGCACTGACAGATTTTACCGAACCAGAAAGGGTTTGAGTAAAGACCTAGTGGTGAGCTGTGTGTCTGTCCTACTCTGAACCACCCTTGTTATACTGAGAGAGATCCATGTGTCTCCTAAAATATAGAGCGGCTGCAATCGGTATTGGTGTAAAGAGTGTGAAATCATGGATGCTTCAAGTATGGTGGGGAAACCTCATCCCTCAAGTAGAAGGCAGAAGTGAAGATTAGCATTATTGATTGGATGGGCCAAGATCCTGAGAGCCTGTGCCAGGGCCATAGAATGAAGACTGATGCAAACTTTCCTGGCAGTAAAAAGAATAGGATAGGGCTGGATGTGTGATTTCTCTGATATTGTGAACTCCTAGATGAGGAAGGTGCCCTTACCAAAGAAGGTCAGCACCTTCTCTGCACCTTAGTCTTAGCAAGTGGCCTAGAGCAGTGAGAGGTTTAAGTGACTTGCCTTGGGTGGCACAGCCAATATGAATCAGAAGTGAGACTTGAACCCGGGTCTTCTTGACTCTGAGGTCAACTCTCTAGCTACTATTCAGTGATGTCTGTCTATACCACTGCTACCACTGCCGATAATAATAGTAACAATAGTTCTATTGATGCCCACTAACTGGATGATCTTGGGTAAGTCATTTAATTTCTGACTCCTCCTTAAGCAACTGTCTGACTCTATAAGTTTCCACGCAGGGGCTGATTGGTCTTGGGAGATGGAGTTATCCCTCCAGACTTTCCATCTATCAATATTATCACAGGTTCAATTGCTCACCCCCCCAAACTGGGGCAGATAACACAGCTTGTAGGATCTGCTTAGCAAGGTTGTTGTGAACCCTGTGAGTTTGAGCTGAGGTAAATTGGATAAAGTTCATTGCAAGCCATAAACCCTATTTAAATGCCAGCAATGATTAATTGGGCCCCCTTTCAAAAGTGGGTGACTAGCTAGATACTGCCTGATTTCATCCTGCCTCCTTGGTCCCCAAACTATCCCTCAGAGTGACTGGAAGTGACTCCCTCCTGATCTGCAATGGTTCAAATCCAAGAGCATGATACAGTGGGTAGATACCGATACTGAAGGCAAAGGGTCTGGATTCAAATCCTACTCTGGAAACTTAGGTGGTAAAGTGGATAAAGCACTGGCCTGGAGTAAGAAAGACCTGAGTTAAAATCCTGCCTCTGACACTTACTAGCCGTGTGACCCTGGGCGAGTCACTTAGCTTCTATCTGCTTCCATTTCCCCAGCTATAAAAATGGAGATGATAGCAGCAGCTGTCTCCCGGGGTTGTTGGGAGGATCAAATAAGATAATGATTGTAAAGTGCTTTGCAAGCCTAGGCACTGTACCAGCCCTCAAGGAGTTTACATTCCACTGGGCAATGACATATGCCCATAAAAGTATATACAAAATATGAACAAAATACAAGGGCAATTTGGGAGGAAAACATTAGCAATGGGGGCAGGGGAGGTGGGGGTGAAGAATCAGGAAAGGTACATGAAATGGGAGGTGAGAAAGGCAGGAAAAGTGGAGTGAAGGCCGATGATGACTTTAAATTTAAGACTGAAGGAGGGGCTTGCCAGTCTTTCCCAC